AGAGGGGGGGGGGGACTACCTCTGATAAGCCCCGCTCATTTCACCGCTGCTTCACTTTAAAACCACCTGCTTGCATATGCATGTATCAGCCCACATAGCGGATAAGACCGAGACAGTAAGCTACCTTTATTTTGCAAATAGCCCGCTCCCTCGGTAGACAATAGTAGCATGGAGCCCGCAGAGTGGGATGGCCCCAACCCGGTGGTTCCCAAGCTGGGGTCCGGGGACCGCCAGGGGTCCTGTATAGGGGGAGGTGGAGAGGGGGTTCAGAAAAGGAGAAAATGACTGAATTGTCACGGTTCAGTAGGGGTTAGCACGGATAGGCTGAGAGATGCAACTGACCAATTTCATTGTCTTCTTGTCAATCAATTAAACTGAGGTCTCAAATGATTTTATTTGACAATTGGTGCATATGACCTCATCTGAATCAGCAGACAATAAGATAAAACCAAAAGTCCCCTGATGTATGTAAGCCCCCCCCCGGATCCTGCGATGTGCTCCCACAAATGCAACAGAAAACAAACAAAAGACATGACATTAAAGAACATGGCTCAATGATTTTGTAAGCACAGATAGCATGTTTTTAAAAGATGGGGGCCTGTTTCAGAGGTGAATTATATTTAGGTCTTAAGTCTTCTGTTTGACTGCAGCAATAATGTGGTTCTGGAAAACACACGAAGCAAGTTGCAAAGGGGAAAAGGGGAAAATAGCTCAACTTCCACGCTGAGAGCAATTCTAGGTAAGTGATGCCCCCATCTGGTTTCTCCAAGACTCTCAACTAAACAAGTCAAAGTGTCTGCTGGGAAACAGGCCTACTGTCTACACACGTTTAAACCACCTGCTAACAACTATAAATTGGTCCAATATGCACATTTTCATAGGCTTCAAAGCTGTTATGTATCATAACACAAAATTCAATTACAGAGAAATTTGCTGCTTAGCTAGTTTAATTAAATTCATTTCATACTCATACACATTGCTATAATAAATACACCAACTACAGGCTGTTTACCATTATAGCTCGAGTCCTATTTGATATTATTGTTCTCACAATTTCATAACTACCTACTAACACTTACTTTCTTCACTGATTTCGTTAATTATATAGACAGTAAATGTGGACACGGTCATAGAGAAAGGTGGAAAATGTATAAATCACCACCCATAGGATCGGTTGTTTCTCCTGCATCAAACATATCTTGGACGCCTTTGCTGAAGACTGTCAAGAGCATCATACTGTATAGGGGGTGATGTGGATGGGAACATGGAACAATGCAGGACTGAGGTTGACTGGCATTGTTGTAATAACCTACAGGTCTTGCATATCTGTATTGACTGTTGTTCCAGGATTTGTGCTGGTAAAGAGGACTGTGTCTGTGAGAGTCAACTCAACTGTGTAGTCAAAGTGAATGCAGCACTGATAAAATTATGCCATCACTGGCCACACTGTTAAACTCTAATGAAATCCACTACAACAGCTCAATCATAAATTCTTCCATTACAAAGACAAAAATGTTCAGTTTTGATTGACACTGTCAGAGAGGAATTACTTAAACTATATGTTTATCACTGAGGCTGTACTTGCATTATATTGTCCACCGCATTTACAAACATGAGGGGGAAAAAATATTAGAAACACATTATGATCACAGCAATAAATATACAGTTGAATTAAAACCTCTGGGAAAGTTTTAACATAAACTGACATGAGTTTTGAGAAGGCAGAATACAGTTTGTGATAGTGGTATACGTGTACCTTAAAAAAAAGCAGCCCGGGGGTGGAGACAGGGGGCGGCCAGGCGCGGCATCGGCCACCTCTGCCTGTAATAATGCTGCTCTTGTCATGGAAACAATAAACTCAGAAGATCCAATCTCTAAATCCAGGCCACTGTTTTGTTTTTTTAAAGGCTTTTCTATACAATCACAGGACAGCAGCTGACCAACTGCGGCCAGGCCAGCCACAGTAATCAATATGCTACTCATTATACCATCGGGGCTGCACATTATAGCAACATTAAGTCTGTCTCCAAACAATGCCGGCTCTTTTCCAACAAGTCTCTTCACTTCCTGGTACGGCGTGGGCCACTCACCGATGGCAGCCAAACAGAGCATTTCTCACATACAGCAGTCCCACTCTGCCTCTGCCATGCCTTTCACTCAGCCACGGAAAGACACTTATATAAAGTCTACCCCCCTGGAATAAAGGATAGTTTTGAATTTTACTTCTCATCTTAATCAAGGTGTGTAAAAAAATCTGTTCTGTCAAAACAGACAAACAGGTGAAAACAAATACTGACAGTGATTGTTCTAATACTGCGCAAAGTGCTGTGATATGAGCAGGTTGTTTGTTTTGTGATCTCAAGGTCATTATCTCCTTTGCACCATGTTTTCATTGCAACCAGATCCTCAAAATCAAGTTAACCATTAATGACACTAGCGTCCTTCCTCGAGTACCAATGACAAGAAGTGGAACTAACTTGGAGACAAAGATAACTTATTAGTAACTGTAACATCATATACTCTAAATGCATTTGTATGTTTATTGTGTTATGCAAGTCTTTAGGTCCAGCTAAAAAATAAAGCCCATCATCCTGTCCAGATATGTCCCTCGCAGAACTCTACGGTCGTCAGGTCACCTCGCCCTCGTGGTTCCCTCTTTTCACTATAAGAAACCATTTTCAGCTGACACCACTGAAAACACAAGTTATAATTATTCTATTCTGTTAGGTTGCAAAACCAAAACACACTGTGTTGAGCAAACAGGCTAAAGCGCAGGGGTTGAAGTCCTGTAACGTGGACGTCTCTTCGCCTGACTTATGACGTGTGCTCTTACTAGAATTACTTTCTCTTTCTCTCAGTGGATCATCCCAACCCACATTTGACCAAGCATTTAGTTCCAGACCAGGGGTTTGTGCTATGTACATATTTGGGTGAGAGGTGACAGTGGGTGCTGACATTTGGCCTCTCTTCAACAGGGGTGAAAAAGCCAAATAATCACTGGTTATCTCTTCAATAAGACTGAAACCTACCACCCACATCTCAACCATCAGTATATGTTGTAGCAGCCCACAATAAATTCATGTAGGCTAGAATTATTTTAGCCTGCTGTATTAAAGCAGGTTTGCAGGGAACGTCTGGGCTCAACGTCTATCATGTGGCGTTTGTGTTTAATATAAATAAGTTTGTATTTTCTTTCTGATGAACTTCATTTAGCAATCCTGGTATGGGTAGCACTATGGCTGGACAATAACTCAATATTCACGTTTAGTGGAATCGTAACCTGAAGATGTGTTCATATCATTCTGCAGATATCGGTTGTCTAAATTAATTATTTTAAACAAATAATCAAAAGCTGCAGAACAGTAGCAGACAGTTTGTTATACTGAACATCACTTTGATTATTTTATGTGACTTTGTGTGCCTTTACTATCAGAACTAGGCAGCAGTGGAAGAAGAACTCAGATCCTTTACTTAAGTAAAAATAATACCGGAATACCATGTAAAAATACTCAGCTAAAAGTAAAGAAAAGGAATCAACAGTCTTATGATAATAGTGTATGTTGTATTATTAATTTGACTATGAAAAGTAACTATCATACAAATGTAGAGGAGTAAAAAGAACAACATTTGCCTCTGAAAAGTAGTGAACTCAAAGTACGTAGTAGCAAAAAATGAAAATACTGAAATAAAGTACTGATACCTTAAAATTGTGCTTAAATACATCCATCCATCCATTTTCATCCGCTTATCCGGGACCGGGTCGCGGGGGCAGCAGTCTAAGCAAAGATGCCCAGACTTCCCTCTCTCCAGACACTTCCTCCAGCTCCTCCGGGGCATGCTGAGGCGTTCCCAGGCCAGCCGAGAGACATAGTCCCTCCAGCGTGTCCTGGGTCTTTCCCGGGGCCTCCTCCCGGTGGGACATGCCCGGAACACCTCCCTAGGAAGGCGCCCAGGAGGCATCCGAAACAGATGCCCGAGCCACCTCGGGCATCTGTTAAATACAGTACTTGAATAAATGTCCTTAGTTACTTTCCACCACTGGAATTAGGTATATTAATATTAGGAGATTTATTTCGACCATATTGTCCAGCCTTAGTCACATAGCTGAGGACTGTATGAGTGTTTACAATGAGACATGAGGCCCCTCAGGCTGAAGCAGGCTAATTTGCATACCACATGCTTACACCGGTGATGTACTGTAGGTTTCGGTCTGACTGTTGATCTCTACTACATAAGAAACAAAAAGCAACTCTCCATCTCTGTCTCTCTCCCTTTCCGGTTTACTGTGCTGTAAAACCCAGAACAACAACTCCAAAACAATCTATAAATTAAAGCCATTATTATTGCCACCAGGAACTCGTCTGTGCACTTTGTTCCACTTACTGACCTGTCACTCATGTCCAGCTTTATTATTCTACAGCCAGTCAGTGCAATGAGGCCACAAACCACCGCATGCTGGTTCTGCTGCCTTGGTGCCTTTAAGGGTCTCGCTTGCATGCTTGTCTGTGTGTGGACTAGATGTGTGCGGATATCCCCCTGTAACTTTCCTGCATTTTGAATTGCAGGATGTAAAAGAAGGCAAGGAAGACTCAAGACAATGAGCAATGGAGGGGAGAACAACAAGGCAAAGAGAAAGACAAAAGACAAAGGAGAAAGAAAGGCAGGGAGACAGGGTGATTGAAAAAAAAAATGCTTGTCTACATCTGCTCTGCTGAGTGCTACTTGTGCCCGAGGGCTAAAGCCCCGCTTCTCCCCTGAATTCCACAACTGCCAGGGCACCAAAGAGCATTACACCAGGGTGTACGGGGTATCCATTAGCACATGTACATTAGTGATTCCTAATCAGGTGTACATCTACCCAGGGGGTATTGTACAATTGTGAGAGGGTACATAGAAATATTAAGAAGTAGCTCAATTCATTTGCTAAATATATTTAGCTAAAAGTAACAGATGAACAG